AAACAGTAATCATGGATAATAAGTATCGACGTTACTAGCCCTGTTTAATAAAGTTTTGCATAAAGCATTAACGCACATTATAATATTACTAACTTATTTATCCTAAAAAGCATGTACACACCAATTCAATATAAAGGATAATAGACTTCTATGATAATAAGAGACTTATTCATAAACTTTCTTGAGAAGAAAAATTAAAAAGTGTAATCAATACATTTATTTTTATTAATACTAAATAATTAGAAATATACTGCTGTGGTCGTTATTAAACGAAGTACAAAAAGGAAACAAATAATAGATAAACATATATTGGTAAAAATATTACGTAGTTAAAGAAATTTTTTAAAAGTATATATAAACAAAGCAAAGGGAAGGTATTCAAAAAAAATTGTATAAAATAATAAAGTTAACCAAGAAGCACGTGAAGCGCCCAATCAATCTCATTAGCCAATCCTGACTGCAACGAAAAGTGAAGTTTCTGAAGGCAACCTTTTTGGCCCCCCCCTCCGTAGTGAAGCTGCCTGTACTCATCACAAAAAAAAGGTTTTAGTAAATTATAAAGTGCTCAAAATTTATATATATCTATAAGTAGAAAAAAGGGAAAAGCCAAAATAATTTAAAACATTCCAATATAAATATAAAGGAAAAGTGTCAATTAAAAAATAGTTGTTAAAAAATATATGAAAATTTTAACAATAAAAGCGTAATAACGATGATAATAATTAGAGAACCGAGAGTTTGCACTAAGGGAGGCGCACGAAAAGCCAATTGTAGGGGCTTGCTGGGAGGTTGTTGGGTAGGAAGTTCGTTTACATCGTAACCTGCCGATGACCTCCGCACCACGGGCACAGCTACGGGTTTGATGACCGACCGACTTGCTCTTTGCGTTATAATAATAGTAATGAAGATATGCAACAGAGTTTGTGGAAAATTAATTAGAACTCTATAGAAAATAAAATGTTTCTACTAAAGTCTCTATTAAATGATTTTTACAACAAAACTTAAAATAAAAATTTTAATAATGAAAGCAAAAGTTTATTAATTAATGCATAAGTAAAAAGAGAGCATAAAACAAAAGCAATTGAAAACAGGTATATCAAAATTCAATTTCTGGAAATAATACATCTAAATTTCTTATATTCTAATACATTTGATAAAATTTTAAAAAAAAAAGTTAAGAGAAAAAATGCAGAAAATCAAAAGAAAACGAAAATCAGGTGAGAAAAGGTGCTAATAACCTCGTAAAGTTTAACCGCAAAGATGGAGAATAGCCCAAAGGTTGGGAAGTGGCATGCGCTCGTAACTTTTTCTGAATCGGTGGTACGGCCTGCTTGATTTCAGGTGGGCCTAATATATAGTATTAGCATTATAATAAAAAACTAAAGTTGATCACATTATCAAGTCATGGTAATTATAATATAACGAAAAACACTCAGCGCTAAGTGAATTGCTAATTTAGAGCATACTCAAGAAGAACAATTTTTATATCTTTAATATAAACGCAAGTAATCGCAAAAACATTTTTGGTTAAGTTAGAAAGTGATCATGTGGCGTATACAAAGTAACGCACCTGGTGGCGGTTTAGGAGCAGTCACATGGGCGAGCGGCGTCGAGTCGGGGGAGCCCTCGTCTCTATTTTATATAAACAATAAAAAAGAGTTATAATAAAACTTCCGAAATATTGAAAAAAATCTAAGTCATTATTTTTTAGGCATTAATGAGAAAGATAATTTTTAAAATTGTGCCTGCCTATTAATACAGCGAAATAGACATTAATATAAGATCAACTTCCTTGAGTGCACAAAAAAATCCTTATTTTAGCAACACTTTCCGAGACGAACGGGGCTGTGAGATAGCCTTTTAACCAATTACATACTGTAGAGCCCACACACAACTAGTTCTTTAACAAAAGACACTTTTTCAGCACTTCAGTCATTATTTTTTAGATATGACGATAAAGCACACGACAAGCCTCTCGCCAATCTCAAAAGTTTTCATGTAATATTATAAGGGTTATCTTCATGCGCCTTCAACCAGAAGATCAGACGAAACATGGAAGTTGGCAAATAACATTTGTAAGTATATTATTAAACAAATTAAAATAAAGAAGCAAAGTAATTAAAAACTCCAGCCATCAAGGCAACATTAAAAAAACGACATTCATTACTTTTTAAGTGTAAAATGTAATACATAAATCACAATAAAAATAGTAAAAATTTTAAGAAGTTCTAAAAAATAGTAAAAGAATGCTACACCAACGAATGGCTATACTAGTAATAAATTCCATAATAAACCAACTTTATTGTTATTCCTGTAAGCTTTTCCCACTGCACCCGCAAGCCTATAGTGATACAAAATATTAAAGGGAAAAATCATAAAAAAGAGACTTTCATATATATTGAAAACGATTGAAAGCTAAAAATATAAGATTCTCATAAACTCATATTACATGAATATACCGTGAAACTTTTTCATGACTAACCAACTTTACAAATTGTAAGGATTACACCAAATAACAAACCATTCACATACCTTTAATAAACACACATAGTAAACTAAAAGTCTGTACTCCTCCACTTTTTACGAAATTGCAAAGGTATGGGGGTGTCCAGAAAGACGATAATATAAAAAGCGTTAACAAATATTAAATTAAACAGTAAAATGGAAAGTTTTAGTAAAGACTTTCAAACGTTGAGGGTAGTAGTAATTTAAGTTTATAAAAGTAGTTACTTTTATATATATATAACAATAAAGAAAAAAAGATGAGAAGTTAACCAGAAGGAATGGTTTTGCTGGGAGGTGGGATGAAGCCTGAAAAATATTTCTATTCATATAATAACAAAATTAGTTATATAAATCTAAAATCAAGTATAAGATAACAGAAAAAAGTGAAGTGTAATCAAGTTAAGAGATATATTAAACTTTGTACTTTAAAATAGCTAAAGAAAACTAAAACTGGTTAAAAATAAATACAATATTAAATAAATTACTAGATTGGCAAAATGATAAGGCTAAAGCCAAAATAATTCTATTAGCAAAAAGTCCTAAAAGATGGACCTCTAAATTTTCTAAGTACTTATGAAAAAATACTAACTGGTAGTATTCATGTGTAATATTACAAAAATAAAAAACAAATTAGACCTCTTCAAAGAAAAGTAGATTGCGTAAATAAATCTGTTTCAAAGCGTAAGTACTGTTGGTACACGTAGCGGAGAAGTTATAGCGGTTAACAATAGATTTCCACTTACGTTCTATGCAGACCTAAGAAAAATAAATGCAAGTAAAAGACGGAGGGAATACTAACCCAAAATTTTTAGATAATTAAAAAATCTAGTACACTATCAAACATAAATAAATTCTCATTAAAAACAAAAATAGCAGCTTATTCACAACAATAGCTAATACTATTCTTGTAAGAGAATAAAAAGTTATTCTAAACTTCCGTTAACTATTTACAAAAGAGCACTAATATATATTAAAATGTTTTAAAAGCTATATAATAAATAACAATACCTCCGACCATCCCCCTTCGCTGATAACATTATTATAAAGTTCAAACAAATTAATTTCTTGATGGCCCAAAGTTGGAGATGACTGGGGAAAAGAGCTTCAATGAGAGAATGAGTAAATAGAAAATTACTTAGTAAGTTATTGTTAGCTATATTAGAAGCAAACTAACTTTCTCTCACGGTGGCAACCAACGAGTAAATCGTTAAATTCTTCTTGGGTGTATGGTACTACTAGGCCATGCTTCTTAACCTGTAGGTAGATATATTGTTATAAAATTAAAAAAGGACTTAAAAAAGTAATTAAGTTTAACAATAAAAATTCAACTAACCGTGGTCATATCTTTGCTACCAAAGTTAACTGGTCAAAAATATTGCTAAAGTTTAATAATATAATCCATCAATTAATAAAAGAAATATACAGTAAGACCATGCTATATAAACAAAAGAGCAAAGCCAATGTTTTCTTAAAAAGCAATCTTTCTATTATAGTTTTCAGGAAAAGTTAATTAGTTCTTCTTCAACTAATTATAAAAAGATAAAGAAGTTGTATAAATATATTTATACAAGTTTAGAAGTTTTCAAAATAAAAAATTTACTAAAATCAAAAATAATATAGGCATTTTATTAAATGACTATAGTATTCCGCCATAGTTAAAGCCAAAAGCAAAGAAAGGTGCTAGGAAAGTGATACAGGGAAGTATACTTAAAAGTGGTAGTAAACAATTGCTTCTACCTTTGTAATAATATAATTTATACTTATTGTAAATATTGTACAGCAATATGTGCCGTTGATATTAAATAACGGGAGGAGTGGGGAAGAGATAAACAAAACAACAATGAGGGCATTATAAAAAAATAAGGAGAGTAAGTAGCAATAATATGAAGAGTTCAAAATTTTTTAGTACATAAAGCTGATACGCAAGCGGTGATGGGGATTCGCAATTAAACTTGTAAAAAATTAGGAACTCCTTCAGGAGGGAAACAGGGAAGGAACGGTGTGTAATTTAATTGTGCGGACCCTTAAAAATCAGTGGTTTAAAGTATGCCAATTTTGGCGTTTTCGGAGTAGTTTACTGCTTTTTATTACTCTACTATTATAATTTTGGGTTCTAGAAACTAATTTATTAAATATTTTCTTTTAAATTTGTTACAGTATTACATATATTATCATGTAAATAATAATAAATGCTTCTTATATAATTTACAATTATTGTATGATAAACCTTTTTTCGGAAAAAAAAAAGTACTGGATAATTCTCTTTAGGTGTGTTTGTAACGTAATATATATTAAGGACAGTCTTCTTTTTTATATAATACCCACATTAATAATGATATTTATGGAAAGTCACGAATTTTCGGATACAACTGTAACATTTTTAATTAAAATAATTTCCTGAAACATGCAATTCCAACTTTCATCGAGCGAAAGCCCTTAAGTTGAGTATCCCTCCTCCGTTAACCTTTTCCAGACTTACTTTGCGCTCCTCCTTCCTTCGTTCGTTTCAACATCACACCTTTTTTTCTGTAGTAAACACTTTTATTTATATATAATTGCTTTAATGTATACTTATATATCCCCATGTTACTCATCTTTTATTCTTACAACCAGGCTCCTCGCTATGTTAAAATTTCTTCCCTTTAAAAGATTTTTTACACGAGTAATTAAATTATTTCGGTTCCAGAGTCCTATAATGTTTTATAGCATTATATAATTTTTTGCTTAGTATATTTTTATCATTCCTTTAACCGCTTTTATATTGTTTTTATTTTATTTGGTTTTCATTTTGTCTTTAGCAATACTCTGCTGTCTCCTTAGAAGAACCTTTGACTCATATAAATTATCGATCTATTCCCAGCGGTAATTATATTTTTTCTTTTAGATCTTATGTAAATACTTTCAGGTTCTAAATTTTTAAAAGGTCTTGTTAACACCGAAGTTACCGTGCTTAAGAATGGGTTAACCGTTGCTACTTACTATGCCAAAAGACCCATTTCGAAGATTGGCCTTTTTGTCGGGGACGCAGGTGTCTCCTCAGATCCTGCCCTAGCTACACTCCTCCGTGGCGTTTTTTTTACTGTATAAATTTTATTTTACGTCATTTTTTATTATCGGTTTTTTTATTTGTTTTTTTCCAGGAAAATAAGAAAACTACTACCTTTGTTAACAGGAGATCCATGGATTTAATTGGCGCCAATTTTAATTTACGATCTGCTAAGGAATTTTTTGCTGTTTCCGCTTTTGCTGAACGCCCCTTCGTGTAATATTATAAATAGTATATCTTAATAGGCTCCGAGTAATACTCTATAATAATCTATAGTTCAAAGTGTGTTGAGTTGATTGCTAATGCACTGAGCAATAAGTTCTACCGTTGGGAAATGGAGGATGCCCTCGAAGACTTACTGACAGAAAATGAATTTGTTCTATTATAAGAACTATAAAATGTTTCAATTTTTATTAATAATAGCCTTGAAACTATTATGTAGGCTAAAGCTGACACTTCTCTTTATCTCTTGGACTGCTTACACAGCGTTTCTTTTCGATGTTTTTAAAATACTTTTTAAGCTTTTATAAAAGAAACTTTGAATTTTTTTTTAGCTGGACTTTCGAATTCTCTTGTTCCCCAGGCATACAAGCTAAAGTCTGTAAGTTGCGACTGTTTGGAGCGCTACGCTCGAGACCGTTACACTGGTGCTAACTGCGTGCTGGTCGGCGTTGACGTGGAGCACCAATTTCTTGTTGATCTCGTTCAGGTTGACTTTTTACACTCAAAAGCTAATTTTTTTATTAATATATCTTTACTTATGCAGAAGAGTTTTCTCTCGCAAATTAAAAAAGGGATTAAACTTAATCCGTCAAAAGATCTTTTTAAAGGTTAGCTGTCTCCATGACATATTTTAAAACAAATTTTTCAAAGTATGGTTAAAAAAGTAACGTTATAATAAAATCTTGATCTTTTAGTTTTAGCAGTTTTTAAAAAGCAACTATAAGATCTTTCAACTTACTTTATTACATGCTAATCTGTAATTTTTTTTAAGCATTCTCAAAGTTTGGCGAACATTTAGTAATATTTGTATATTACTTAATTTAAGTTTATGATTTTTTACTATTAACAAGGTTGTAGTTAAAGATAATCATGTTTTTTTTATATTCACTAAATTACTATATTTTTCATTTTTTATGTAGTTCTTTTAAGGACATGCCTTTTATTATAATCTGGTTCATTTCCTTTTTACAGATCGTAAGAACACTTGGTTGTAGCAATAAAAGTTTTTTTATCTTTTAATTTACTACGTACAATTTGTAGAGATTTGTAATTCCTTTAAATTCCAAAAAACTATTTAATATTTTTTGGTTTCCTTTCTGCTTTATTTTTTTTACAACTTTGAAAAATTTAAGTACGTGTAGTTTCTTATTTTATAATGAAACTATTTAATCGTTATTATAAGGAGGCCGCGATTTACGCCTGGAAAGCCGAGGAACAAGGTCTACTGTTCTTCTTGGCTTTGCAGGTTTCTAATCCTGAATTGTTGCGTTATACTTTTGTATTTATATTTAAGTAATACCTTAAGTTTTATAAGTTTGTTAACTTTACATCTCGTTTTTTATATAACTTCAACTCGACTGCATGCTTATACCTAATTTTGGTAAATTTTAACTCATGGATATCTTTATGTACTTATCCACCCTTTCTATGAAAATTATCACATCAACCTTGAATGATTTCTCATTGGTGTTATTACTACTTTATTGCCTATTTTGTGATCCCTCGGATTTGTTCATTAAGAACGGGAGACCACGTGTTATAAAGTACTAGTGTGCTTAGCACGTAGTTGAGTATTATCAGTGAGTGAAGATATGCTTATTTTTGGAATCACAATACTCACTTGAAGCCAGAAATTTTTACTTGCGACATTTTTTAACACAGTATAATTTGGACTTTATAATTATAATGGTTTCTAACTTACTTTCTTGTTTTTTCAACAGTACATATATTTTTTAATAAGCCGAGCTTGTTGAAAACTTTACCGTTTCCGGAATTTTTTAAGACTGTTAGCAATTGACTTAAAGAATTTTTGATATTCTATTTTTAAATAGAACTTTTTGTTTTTTAAAAAAATATTTTATTAATATTTTATTTGGTTTAATAATAATCTTTAAACACGTTTTTAGGATTTATAAGTTATTATAGTAAAGATTCCTATATTAGCTGCCACTTATTTTTTTTTAGTATTTGATTTTCTTTACACTTGTATGTCTTGCCTTAGAGATAATATTTTATTTCTTCGAATGTTTTACTTTCAATATTTAATTTTTTTTTTAAGGCGGTCAATTAGGAGAAAAGGAATCTCTTGCGTATGCACTACTGCGCTTGGCCCTTTGTGCCGGCCCTTCGACTAGTTGGGGCCAAGATAAATCTAGACTAATGAATACGTAAATTCTTCTTATACTTTTTGCTCTATTATGAATATATAAAACTGATCATTGTTGTTTTGAGCTATTATGTTTTCTTAATATATATAGTTCACTATATTTTTACTATTTCTTTTTTACAATTTATAAGTATAAATGGAATCAAACTTATTGAAGAGGGCAAACTCACTTCTATCAGTGCTTCTTGCCTTTCCTACCTTCATTCAGGGTAACATTGATTAAAATTTTATATATATGTTTGTATATTTTCTATTCCTATTAAAAAATGCTTGACCTAAACTTTTTTTTTATATTTATTTTACTTTTTTATTTACAAACTAATATATATATGGTTGCATACCTTTTACTTTCTAAATTACTTTATTTTTTAAACATTTTATATTTAATGTATTAGTTATAACCTTTATTTGTTTGCAGTTTATTTTTTATTGAGATCGTTGGGGAGGGAAAGTATATGAAGAAAATAATGACTACAGTCGCTCAAGCTTTGAAAGAAGTTAGAGAAAAGGTTGAGGCCTTATTTATTTATTATTTCTAATAAATATATTGATAAAAATAATAATATTGTTTTAATATGGACCTTTTTTTAGGAGCATCGTATCTTTTAAAGGGTAATAAAAACTTATAAAGCATTTGCATTGTATTTTTTTTGTGACTTGTCCCAAAAAATTACTCCATATCCATTATTTGTGTGCTTCTTGTTATAACTTATATTTCCGTTGAAAACCATCTTAGGGAATACATTTTATTAAAAATATTAATAAATAAACTTTTTTACTGTTTATCTTTACGATTAAATCTCATTACATAATTTTTTTACTAATAAGTACTTCACACCCCTTTTCAGAAGATATGGTTTATATAATAAACCTTGTATATATCTTATTACTGAAACCTTTTATTTTGTTCTAGACAAAAAAATTATATTACTAGTGCCTTATTTCAGGTATTAGTGTTAAAAACAGTAACAGTTTTAGTTAATTTCATTACTTAATGGAAAAAGAGACATTCATTTTCTTCTTACTAATATTGGTGTTTATAATTATATACACTTCATACTTTTTTTTGCTTTACCAAATAATTTTTTTTAATGAACAGTTGTGAATCTAACTTGAATTTTTAAGTTGTTTATAACTTTTATGCACCGTAACAGTTGCGTTAACTATCTGTGAGCGTACAACTCATGTCATCAATATTACCAATAAGGATATGACTATACATACTTATTTTATAAATTATTACAATCGTTATATATATATTAAGCAAGCTAGGAATGTTGAGGATGTTCATTTTATTTAGTAATGCAGGTTTGAAGTTCCGTTATTATTTTTTATTTAACTGAATACAAAGAAAAAAATATCACATAACGTTTTGCACAAAATTATATTTTTTTAAGGGCTTGACTGCGTCAGAAGTTGCTCGAGCCCAAAAACTTCTAAAAAGAGAAGCATTAAACTGTTTTAGTGCAAATTTACTACTTGACGATATTGGACAGCAAGTTTCATTTATTTATATATATAATTAACTTAAAACTTTCTAATAATAGTATACTTTCCTATATCTTTTACAACTGTTCTCTTTTTTTAATGTATTTCTTTTAACTATTTTCATCAAAGTTATATTTCTATGTAAACCCTCTATATTCACTATCAGTTACATTGTATGCTTTTAAATTGTTTATTTGTTGTTTCGCCTTATCATTACTTTTTATTCTTGAAAGTTTATTTTATAAATGAATAACACAATAATTCTCTCCAATTATTAAACTTCTAGAATTTGCCTATTTTTTTTAATTATATACATTATTCATTAGAAAGAAATGCATATGGACTTACTAATTTTTGTCCTTTAGTTGCTGTTCAAAGGAAAATATAACCCTGTTCATGAGATTCTAAAAAGAATTGACTCGATTTCTTTGCAAGATGTTTCTGCTGCTGCCAAAAAGCTGGCGAATCCCTCCATGGTGGCCTACGGGGTCGTGGACACCGTCCCATACCTCGACCAACTCGAACTATAGACTCACTTTTACTTAATAAATTCATTGATTACTTCGTTTAAAAAATCTTTTGTATCTCTATCAATTAAGGAAAATAAATTTTGCTATTATTACTTTTGCCCGATGTCTGGGGTATCAATAAAAATTATAATTTTATTGTTAAACTTTTTGTTACTGATTAAGAATATGCTAAATCTTCGTACTAATTTTTTTATTTTACTTTATTACAAAATATAAACATTATTATTTATTTTTGGATTAAAGTATCATAAGGAATAATAACAGCTGTGCTCGATTTAAAATTCTTTCATTCTTCTTAATACACCTGTATAGTATAACCTTCGGCTTGGACTGAATATGTGGCAAAATATTTTACGATCACGATTATTATTTTTCTTGGTAGCTCGTTAAGAATTTTTTCAGTACAATATAAATATATTTCTTTTTTTGTATGTAGACCTTCAAACGTATCTAAGCTTATCTACGTAGTTTATATATTACAATTAAAAATTAACTTATATTTTTTTTAAGTTTTTTGTAATATTTGCCTTTAATAAATTTTAAAACTTTCAATCCTTTTTAAAAATTTATTTACATGTTTTCACATTATACTTATTGTTGTTTCCATGTATACTTGTACATGGCAGAACTAAGATGGTCTCATTTTCTTGGTGCATGCGTGAATCCGTGGATTGTCTTTTTTTTGTTTTGGATTGTAGCAAAGTCCTCCTGTATAAACATCAGTGTATTCAGATATTTTTCTTTTACTAGATTATGCTTCCTTGTATTAATCAACTAAGATTAAGTGAAATATTTTTACATATTAAGTTTGATCAACTTTACATGTTTAGTAAACAGCCACATGAAAATTAGCAATACGTTTTCTCGTCATTTTCCTTACTATTTAGTTAACTAAGTTTTACTCTTTTCATTACATATACCTTAACCACGTGCGTTAAATAAACATAAGTTAGTTGTTGAAGATCCCTTAGGAAAGCTTCGGTCTTCCCTTCTTATCTTCCTCTTTTTAGTTTAAAAAGGGTTCTGACATTGTTGTATCTTTAAAGTGTTGATTACGTTGGGTATTAATAGTCAAACAAATTATGGAGACCACTATATACTGAATAAAAAGCGAATTTTCTATCTGAATTTATTCAAAATAATTTATTGTTAAACTATAAAAAGTCAACTTATCCTTTTTCCAATAATTAAAAGCAGATCTTCTATTTGCTTCTGAAAGTCGTGTTCCTTATCATTTATAAATACAAAATCCCACTATTATAAAATAGCAAATAGTACTAACTTAGAGTATTTAACGATAAGTAAAATTTATCAATAATTTTTTTTATTATTAAAAAATTATAAAGTATTGAAAGTGAGACGTTTAAGTAAAAAATATATTTAATAAACAGAGTAAATAAAAAAATATTATATTATAGGAAAGTACTAAAAACTTAATACGTCGTTGATGTTATCTAGTCCGCACTCACTTTCACAGTCGTCCACACCCTCTGTAAAAATATACCCTAGCCAATAAAAAGTTTTAATAAAAAACTTAACTACCTATATATGGTATACCTAAAAATCTTACCATGGCTTTAGTAAAGAAAATTACCTCTATTAATACGCTCTTCTTCTGAGCAAATAACGCGTACAGAAAAACATTTTTGCTTATATTTCCTCTGGTTGGTAAAGCTTGTTTATAAATAACCGCAAAGAATACTTTTTTCAAGTAGCAAATACTCGAAAGTAAAGTAGGTCGTTGATTCGCCGAGCATCAGAAAATAACCAAACTTTATATCTTCCCTTTAAGGCTTCTGCAACAGCTAGTTCTTATAGATAATAGAAATAATAACATTAAAATGTTGGCTTTAAGTCAAGTGCGTTGACTAGTTAAACATTTTATTATCAAAAGGTAAAGAGAAATGCTACCAACGAAAACATAGGGGTCCTCCTTCCTTTTTACCGCGCCCCATTTTATCATATCTGTAACAAAAATAGATTAGTTTTATAATTAAAAAGTAAAATAAAATATAATCATGCCAGAGCGATATATTTCTTTATAAAAGGAAGAATCTAGAAGCTTAGAAAAGTCAAGACCGTGTGCTTTTGCAAATTCTCTCTTTATAGGCTCAGATAGCCGACATATAATGCAATCGGAACCAAATCTTTACAAGTTTGAAGTGATATATATAATTGGTATACCAGAAAATAAACAACACCAAAAGACATGTTTATAAAAAAAAGTTTTATATAATATTAAAAACTATTTTACGCCTCTTTTATTTTGCAAGCAATATAATCCTTGCCACTCTTTCTTTTTCCGCTTAACACTACAACTGCTTGTACACACATTAAGGCAAATATTTCATATTTTAGAACTTGAACTGAGGGAGCAAGCTGGTGGAATTCAGCACTCAAAATTAATTTCAAATCTCTTATGCCTCTAAGGGGATTGGCTTTAAAGACGGTTCGAACAAATTTTAGCATACTCAAAACTTCGCCATTATTCACTTTTTCATTATTCCACTCTCATTATAGCATATTTCGATACTCGTGAAGAAGTTTTTTAGACAATATTTAAACATTAGACTAAGAAATTTTTATGTTGAGTAAAGCGATATTAAAGATAGATAAAACGAACATAGCTTTAGGGATTTTGACAAATGACTATCATATTAACTTTATTACAAAAGTTGTACTGTATTACACCAAAAGTTAATCTCCATTTGAAACAAAAGCTGCCTAAGTAGGTAAAGCTGTTAGGTTATACCTTTTCGAATATACTAAAAAAATGCAGGCAAAGTAAACCAGGAATCATATTAATATTATCCATAAGCACACGGGAGAGGTTCAAGTTAGTTAGTGAACATTTATGTTTTATAATATTTATTGATGAATTTTAGGATTGAAATATACGCATTCTTTAAAAGTCTCAATTGGAAATCGTTTAGTTCTTATATTCAAAAAATAATACTGCGGAGAAACGACTCCTGTATAGGTAAACCATTTATTTTTAATCACTGCGTAGTTTGTAATTCGTACAATATAACTGAATAAAATGTTAATATTATTAACGATGGAAGGGTATGTGTTTAGTTGACTTTTCAAACTGTCTTTACGTTTGCTTAAGACTAAGAGGGTCCCTGGTAGAATGTATAGCAAGGCTTTTAGCTTTTTTGTTCCTTTTGCAATTAGTTTTTGTCCCGAACACGTTAAGATATCACTTTGCTGAGGAGGATTGAGGAAAAGTTTTCTAGTATTAGTAATGCCTTTTGATTAACAGAAATTGGCAAACCATTAAATTTTAGCCACTGCTTGCTGAATTCATTTTAGGTGCTCGCTAAAAAGAACTATGGGGTCAAAAACTTACATAATTGGGCTATTACTCCTGGTAATATTAAAGACTGGACAGAAGCGTCCTTCATTAAGCCTGTTCAATCTGAAGAGCCGTGTAAACCCTATGTAAACCAACCGCAAAACTGTACCTAAAATGAGTCTGACTATCACACTCGTTTTTAATAAACCTAAAAACTCTTGTGATTAGTTTCCATGTTTAGTCTTTGGCTACAAATTAGAAAAGATAACAAAAATTGAATTAATTGTTTGGCAGCTTTTCATATAACCAACATAAGCTTCTTTTGTTTTAACAGAAAAGGAAACCAAAATTCAATAAAATTTAACTAAAATTCGGACAACCCCATTAGCCGAAAATTTCAAAATGATTGGCTCAGATTCCTGGAAATTACCCGAAGAAATTATATATAGAGCACGAAATCGCTGCTCAAATAAGCGTTAAGTTTGCTGAAGTTAAGTTTAATCGGTTTTCTTACATAAATTTTAATAGATATAAAAAGCATTATAAGGGGCAGGAAATAAATCAAGTATGACAAATTTATTAATTTAAGAATATATGTCACATCAGTCAATACCACCTAATAAACACGTCTACCAAAAAAACACACACTAAATACGCACAGGCTTCATACAAGAACCTAAACCCCCATAAAAATATATGATCCTTTTTCATTTTCAAATATAAGATATGTATAAATAGAACAACAAAATTAGTAAGATAAGTCTGACAAATAGTAATAGAGAAGTGGGCAGCTCTTGTATAGCTAAACAATAATTTATATGAAAAAACTACAGATATGTTATTAGAACAAATGCAGGTTAAAAAAGACAACTGCATTATGGACCATTGAAATATACGAGATTACATTAAACTTTAAGGATGGTTTATAAATATACTTGAGATCAGAAGAAAGTAAATTTAACAACACCCTTTAAAAAGAAAAACTAAAATGTTAAAAATTTTTCTTCTGCTATTATAAATATACGCTTATAGAAGTTATGCACTACTTACTTCATCAAAGGAAGCAATCGATTCTATTAGAATATACTTTTTACATTAAGAAAGAGGCATACAATTTTGCAAACCTTTAATTGCAGGCTATAAAAGGTGTTTATGTCATAAATATCCTATTACCAAGAAAAAATTAAAGACTATTCTCAAAATTCAGACTCATGTACAAACAATACAAATAAATTTACTCCGGCACAAGTATGACTTACAATTATTAAATTATTTAAAAAGAATATGACATAATAATATGACAAGAGCGGGAAATGATTGAAGAAAAAGATACCACCACTAATTATATCAACTAATAAAAAAAACAGCCACAATCATTAAGCAATAGGTATTAATACAATAAAGCAAAATATCAAGTACAAACCTTATAAGTAAAAGAAATCTGTTTCAATAAACATTAAAAATTAAAAACTGAAACTTCTTTTCAAGAACAAGCTTATATATGCAAAGCATATGAAAAAAAAACTAGCTAAATAAGATTTTTTTTTTAAAGTTCACGCAACCGTCTAATAATTAATATTTACAACATTAAACCAAAAGTACATTCCGAAAAACGAAAAAATATAACCTTCTTCGACTTCAACACAAGATTTAGAAAAAAAAAAAAACAACCAAACGAGAAAACTATAATAAAAAATAACATCTCATGGCTAAACCAGGAAACAAATTACAACAATATCCAACAGTATCACAAATTAATTAATTAAAACACAAGAAATAAAAAATAAAGTACAAATAAATAACAACCGTGTAGTGAAAGAACCTATATTAAAATATTTAAAAAAACGAAACAATTAAAATTAATACTCAAAATCAGGAATGTTAACATAATGCAGATGGATAAAAAGTGTGTTTACTCAGTTAACCACCCAAACGATCTAGTCATATCCGAAAAGGTTCACACATGAGCTAATAATAGACGCCTACAAACCTTATAATATATGCAAGAAAAACATAAAATAATACTTACAATATTAGATTAAATACTCTAAACCTTAGGAAAATACGAAAAAGTAAATGTTTAATAGCATTTAATGAAGCAAGAATTAAAGAAGAGAGAGAAGTATTTGGATGTGCACGAAAAAACTCTTATCTATTATATAATGCGACAAATTTAATGTCGACGGCATAGAAGAGGGTGACAAAGATGCTCTATACAAGCCTCTCCTAACTACCTAAGTTTTTCTTAAATAGACTCTTAGTGTTGACTATTAAGTTGCATATTCACCTATTGATGGCATTAATTTAAAAAAATTAATAACGCTGAAAGCCACCACAATCTCCTTTTTATTTACAAAACTTGAACTAATATATGCATATGTTCTATACGGGTTTTAAAAACCCTCAGTCAAAACGAAAGAGCTTATGAGGGAACCAAAAGAAGGGAAAGCGTGTTCCATAGGTTTAGACCTAGGCCTTTATATTGAAAGTCTTTGTTAACGTGTGAAAAAATACGGGTTACAAAGTTTAATTAATGGTTGTACCTTATAATTAAGTATTATGGAAACAGTATAGTAATTTATGTAGATAACTTTATCATATACCTTTAAGATTCTGCTACTTTATTAACAATATGTATAGAACATGTCGAAATTAACTGCAACTCCAAAGAGGACTCCCCCAGTTAAGTGCATAAATTCATTACACGTTGGACACTTCCCCCTCACCCTTAACTTTTACCTTTGAAATGGGTTAGTTGTCGTTCAGAACCCTCTTTGGTCATTAACCTAGGGTAGCTCAAGAGGTTCAAAGGCGAGACAATTTTCTTTCTTTGGACCCTCTTTGAGAATTGGGCCCCAGAAAGTTTATAAAAAGTTAATAATTAAAACGAGTAATAAGGATTGAAACTCTATACCTTTGACACTCAGAAAAAACAAATGGAGAAAGGCATATATGAAGACTAATTCAGACAAATATGTATTGCTGAACACACAGGACATTTATTTTAAAACCATAAAAATGATGCGCTTCTCAAGCGCACCATATTAGAGAGCCTGTCACTACATCAAATATGGATTGCTGGACTTGCACTTGTATCTTTAAAAACAATATTCAATTTTGAAGAATATGAGCTAAAAGGTGAGAATTTACGTACAAGGCGTTATAACGCCAACGAATTTACCAAAAACATAAATATTAAAAAAATCTTAAGAGAACACAAAACACTACCTTCAGTGATATAAGGGGAAGTGACTACTCAATCTGGCATAAAAATACTATATGCCATAGCAAAGATGGTTTAGAAATAGCTATAGCCAAACTGGAATAATGAAAAATTCGAAGGTAAAGATGACTCCTTACGCTTTATCGCAGTTTGTATAAGGACTAATATCTCCTAAGCATTGTCATGATGAACCGCAGGGGACTGTTTAGAATATTACTTTAATAAGATTTTTTTAGATAATCGAGCAATACTTTCATTAAGCCCCTTAAACAAAAAAACTGAACAACTTTGTTTAGATTTGTCCATATTTAAGTCTCTGATAATCTAGATATATGAAGTCTGCCAGATAAAATTAATTTTAAAAGGGGCTATAATTTAATATCATGAATTTGACGCATTTTATTTTGATTGCGTACTGTCAGCGGATCCATGCTATTGGTATTTTTTTTATAGATAAGTCGTACACGTAACCACTAAACCAGAATAAAGAATGCGAGTTGGCACCGGTGGGAATCAAACTCCGCGACCTTGAAATTGCGCGAGAATGCTATAACTACTGAGCTACGGTCAAAACTCACATTTTCGGGTCGATAAACTACTTATACAACTTTTGTGACATCCTAATGTTTTAAAGTTTCAATGGCTTTGCTGGGCGTGGACTTACTACCTTTCTAGATTACCTTCAAAGCTTACTATTCATAACTTCGAAGCAGAGTCTAAAAACTATAAGTCCTTAGGTTCGTTGGCTGTCGAAAGGAAACATGTTGAGAAAATGATATGAGCTGCGGGAAGGACTAAACGTTTTCTTTATTTCGAAAGGAATGACTAATTTGTTAGAGCAGTTTTGTATTTCAAAATTTGAGATAAGGCTTACCTCTAGTGGGCATTTTTGAAAACTTAAATAAGCTTATTTGCAACCACAAGATTCGGGCAATACGAAATTGGAGGGTTGCGC